AGAGAGAGAGATTTTGTGATTTTGACTGGAGTTTCCCTTTGATAATGCGAGGATATGAGAGGAGAATAAAGAATGAGAGAGGTGAGCAGACGATGATGCTGAGTAAAAGGCCAGTGTCACTGTTATATAACAGTGTTAGCAGATGATCCACACACACACAGATGTGACCAGCATGTGTGTGTGTGTGTGTGTGTGTGTGTGTGCGTGTGTGTGTGTGTTTGTGTGTGTGTGTGTGTTAGTAATCAGTGCTAAATGATCATCTGTTCAGGCACAAATCTACTCTGACTGACTGAGCACGGGACAGAGTGAGAGAAATACACAGAGAGAGACAGAGAGAGAGAGAGAGAGAGAGAGAGAAAGAGAGAGAGAGAGAGAGAGAGAGAAAGAGATGCTGCAAAAGTCACATGGTCCAGCCAAATACAGAAACATTATATTATCACTAATAATCTGTTACCATGGAAACCACAACGCCCATCCAGCTGTGTTCTGTCACATGATGGGGAGATATTCAGCTGTCAATCAAAATATTCCTCATGCATCAATGCAACAAAGCTGCTTATAAACAACTATGAGCAAAATAACTCAGCTAGCGCACCTTTAGGCATGTGGCGATAAAAAAAAAATTCTGTCATGTTTTTCTTTTTCTCTAGATTTTTCTTTTGTTTTCTGGCCGGCCTGTAGACCTCTGGTACTCTAAATAGCACACTGAGTATGAACGTATAGCAGTGTGAGCATTACTCAGAGCTGTGAAGCACTGTGTGCTGAATGTCACAATATTCCTTACTATTAAACATTCCTCATTCCTCAAAGACATGGTTCTAGATTACATTATATCACATTATAGGTGCCATTATATGTGTGACTGATCAGCAGCTTCTATTAATAAACAGAGGGTTATGTTAGCAAGCAGAAAGTTCTAGACACATAGATGCAGTTACGTTAGCAAAGACGCAGTTCTAGATACACTAACTCAGGTATGCTGGCAAAGACATGCTTCACAGACAAGTAAGTTAGCAAAGACGCAGTTCTAGATACAAGAACACAGGTGTGTTAGCAAAGACATGCTTCACAGACAAGTAAGTTAGCAAAGACGCAGTTCTAGATACACTAACACAGGTGTGTTAGCAAAGACATGCTTCACAGACAAGTTAGCAAAGACAGTTCTAGATACACTAACAGGTATGTTAGCAAAGACATGCTTCACAGACAAGTAAGTCAGCAAAGACACAGTTCTAGATACACTAACACAGGTATGTTAGCAAAGACATGCTTCACAGACAAGTTAGCAAAGACAGTTCTAGATACACTAACACAGGTATGTTAGCAAAGACATGCTTCACAGACAAGTTAGCAAAGACAGTTCTAGATACACTAACAGGTATGTTAGCAAAGACATGCTTGACAGACAAGTAAGTCAGCAAAGACAGTTCTAGATACACTAACACAGGTATGTTAGCAAAGACATGCTTCACAGACAAGTAAGTCAGCAAAGACGCAGTTCTAGATACACTAACACATCAAAGACATGGTTCACAGACCTGGTTCTAGATCACAATATCCCTTATTTTTGACCAAAATAATTTGCATTGTTGAATTATATCGCTGTGCAAAGGTCAGAAACTACCCTTCACTGATGAATTTCAGTCACAGCAGCCTCTAAAGCTGCACTATGTAAAATTTTTCATGCTACGTCGTTTGTCTTTACGTATTTACGTCACACACGCAGACAAGAAGGTCCAGCTCGATGTTTAGGTCTCAAATGCAAAATCAACATTATACTGATGAAGATATGATGATATCAGATTCATCTGCTTGGGGAAGGGGTCTGAAGCACAACCCACAATACAAAATGTTCTTATGTATGCTGTGCGCAATTACACATTTCCACCAGAGAGGTCTCCAAATCCCCCAAACGTACATAGTGTAAAAACAGCAAATTATGCAATAATCTAAACAACTATTTTCTGCAGTAATCAAACACATTCAGTGATGCTGAGGTTTGGATTCTGGGGTGGTCAGTCCATTGTTCAGCTTCTTTGTTTGATGTGTCCGTCTCCTTTTCTTAGTGAGGTTCTTCTTAACAGCTACACATCCTTTCAGACCCATAGCGCTGAGTCGTCTCTCACAGTGGAAGGATGGACAGAAACACCTGTGGATGTTTTCAGATCTGAAGCAGCTTGATTTTCTCCTCTCTCTCAGAGATGAAAGCTGTAAGTGCTGTTTATCTGATGGGGACAGTTTTGGTGTCTACCAGGTCTTCCAGGTTGGTTGTTAGGAGATTTTCTCTGTAGCTTTTAATCAGTTTTGATTTTTTCTCTTATTTTCTTTTGACTTTTCTCTTTCTTATGCAAGCATATTATCATATCTAATCTCCTGAAAAAACATCCTGAAAAATCAATAACTTGTACTTAATGGCTGTTTTGACTGCATATTAAATAAATGATGGGTGGTCTCTGACTTTCACACAGTAACGTATATGAACACACTGATTCATCAAAACACTAATAGAAACTCGTCTGCAGCTGTGATTGGTCGGGATATTCACAGCACACAGCAAAAAAAATGCTGTGATGGTTTACAGGGCTAATTTGCATATTGATATTCTGTGATATCAGTATTACACAGGCCACTATTGCAATAATGACTGTTGTGCAGATGTTAGTTTGATTTCTCTCTCTTTCCGTCTCACTGTGGTTCTTCAGCAGCGCAGCTGAGCTCCTCCTCCTCTCCTCTCCTCATCACAGTGAACTTTTTCGAGGTGTTTAATGAAGTGTTAGATGATGTGAGAAAACAGCTTTAATTTTAGCAGGTTTCTTCAGCTCTAGCAGCAGCAGCAGAAGGAACACAGCCTGTTTTCTTCATTAACACTGTGCTAGAGACGCCGGGGCTCTCACACTGTCAGCTGAACTAAGGGGATCTTAAAGGAATGCTGCCGTGCTAACATTGCTTATGACTTTTTTTGCTGGAATGGTTCAGTAAAAAAGGACATATTTACACAATTTACTACTTTACCCAGAGGCAGCTGATCAGCCAAGACATGCTAAGTGTAAATTTTGCTTCTTTAATTTAGCACTGGAGCTACGAGACTAACGTGGCTAACCAGAAGTAGAAGTAAATAGTCAGTCAAATTGTATTTGATTTATTTTTATTTATTCTCTTCTGTGAATAAAGATTTATGTTGTTTCTTGACAAGTCTGAGCCACCTTAACAAAGAGCTGGATGCGGGTTGAGAGAAGTTTTGGAGATGTACTTATAGAAAGGATTTGGGTGACTACTGACTTCTAGTGTTTGTTAACCATGTTAGCCTCGTAGCTCCAGCGTTAAACTAAAGAAGCAAAGTTTGGACACCAACTACATCTGAAGTAAGTGGAGTTTTCTTTTGGGTTTTCATTCCTTTAATCTTGCACTTTTGAAGGAACCATTCCTGTCTGTCAACAGTGGTCCTCTTGTCAGAAACTGACCAATGATGAACGGGGTAGAAGGAGAACAGATGCAGCAACATTTGGAGCTACAGTCTAGAAAGGTCGAGCGCATAAAGTGGCCAGTGAGTGGAAGCACAAGGTAGGTGTTTCCAATAAAGTGGCCAGTGAGTGGAAGTACAAGATGTTTCCATTAAAGTGGCCAGTGAGTGAAAGCACAAGCTAGGTGTTTCCAATAAAATGGCCAGTGATTTGAAGTACAAGGTAGATGCTTCCAATAAAGTGGTCAGTGAGTGAAAGTGCAAGTGAGGTGTTTCTAATAAAGTGGACAGTGAGTAGAACATGCTCAATCAGTTTCTATTGTCCTCAAAACTGCCCATATGCAGCTGTAAGTAAAGGGAAAAGTAAACTTCAGAACCTTCCAAAGCCAGGGCGTCTGCAGCTGCACACAGGACAGTAAACAAAGTGCCAACTCACACTTTAAGAGAACAAAAATACACACAGACCACTTTTTATGGTACAATCAGCTGTTTTAGACTTCAGAGTCACTGGACCTTCAGCAAATAGGCTCATAACTCTGAGGATGCAGAGAGTGTGTCGGAGTGGTCACTGCTTCTGACTTGATTCGACTCAGACTTGCACCTCAGACACTTAAAACTGGACTTGGACTCACACCTCAAAGACTGGAGACTTGACTCAGACTCGAACCTCAGAGACTCAAAACCGGACTTGGACTAGTACCTCACAGACTCAAGACTCGACTCACACCTGCACTTGGACTCGCACCTCAAAAAACTCGAGACTCTACTCAGACTCACACCTCAGAGGCTTGAAATTTGATTTAGAATCACACCTCAAAGTCGTGACTCCGATTCACACTTCAGAGATGCGACTCAGACCTCAAAAACCTGAGACTCGACTCAAACTCGTACCTCAGAGACTTGAAACTGGACTTGGACTAGTACCTCACAGGCTCAAGACTCGACTCAAACTTGCACCTCAGAGACTTGAAACTGGACTTGGACTAGTACCTCACAGACTCAAGACTCGACACAGACTCGCACCTCAGTGAGAGACTCTACTCGGACTTCCACACCAGAAACTTGACTCTGACTCACACACCAGAAACTTGAATAAGACTCGCACACCTGAGACTTGACTCAGACTCACACCTTAATGACTCGAGACTCAGACTTGCACAACAAAAACTTGACTCGGACTCACACCACAGAGACTCAACTCAGACTTGCACACCAGAAACTTGAATCGGACTTGCACTTCAATGACTCGAGACTCTACTTGGACTTGCACATCAGAAACTCGACTTGGACTCGCATCTCAGTGACTCAAGACTCAGGATTCACACTTCAGAGACTCAACTCGGACTCACACTTCAGAGGAATGACTTTGACTCACACTACAGAGACTCGTCACAGACACAGAGATCTTCCCAGAGACTCAAGACTCAACTTGGACAACCTTGAAGTGACGTGTGAACATCTCTGGACGCGAGTCAGCTCATAAATAATTCACTTCCAAAGCATTGAAATCAGTGAAACAGAATGAGACAGGAAATCTCACATTGAAAGCGGGTTTGCTGGCTGCATCACTTCCTGTGGTCGGCTCCCTGAAGCAGTCACTGAAGGGCTGCAGAATCCCAAGAGCCAGAATCCGTGAGCAAAACCTCTCAGCTTCATCATCGTCATCATCCTCACCAGCACCTGACAGCATACAACACCGCTCTAACAGAGTGCGGCCTGAGAGAAAGAGAGAGAAGAATTCATGACAGTTTTCTACAAAAATATGTTTTGTGGAACATTCAGCAACTGCCAGTGGCTTCTATTTAAACATGTAGTAGAAGTGTGTCAATTAAGCAACAGGGATTATATTGAAAAATGCTGGAGTTCTCCTTTAAAGTACTCCGGGTTGGAAATAAAACAGTGAATAAGGCTCTCGAATTCAGTCAGTGACAGAGAGCATATCTGCCTGTATCTAATAGTAACTCTAACAGGTGGAGCTCAACTGTGTAGTTTAATTTCCTCCCACTCATCTATCAGATAGAGACACATTCAATATCTCATTGGACTCTCAGTCTCTCTCTCTGCTCTGGCTGGGTGCAATAATCCTTTCAGAGCATCACTGAACACAAAGCTATATCAAGTCCTCCTATTATATTATTCATTAGCTCTCTGCTTCCTGTGGACAAGCTCACCACTGCTGAACTTATTCATCACTTCCAGTCCTCAGCACTGCCCTGTTTTAATGACTTTCCTGCTTTAATGTGTCTGACCAATGAAGGCATTTAGCTACTGTGTTCTGCGTTTTAGCATAGGAAAAAACTACCCCCGTGCAAATCTGTGGGGAAACTACAGGGCATTCAGAGAAGACCTCATGATTTCTGCGAAAAAAGGCAATGTCTGTAATTGCTAGTTCATTTTAATTCAATAGAATTATGATGTTTGTTGTACTTATTATTGTAGTAATACTCTTATTTTATTGTTTAGCTTTGGTAGGAAACTGAAGGTTGGGTCCCACCTTGAAACGCTCAATGGAAAATGACCCAATCAGAATTTTTTTCTCTGTGGGATCGAAGTAGAAACAGCCAAGTGAGCACTCCCATTAGTTGGGACTTCATGAGATGGACCGAAGGCCTAATGCATCATATTAACCATTAACAATACTATACTATCATGTTTTGATTTTGAATAGATGGGATCAATTTTTGAGAAAAAAAAGTCACTCTAGGAATTCTGGAAGTTCTAGATATTTTGACTGTGAAGTGGCCGCCTAACCAATGTGTTTCAGTCAGTTGTTAGGAATGGAAAACAGCGGCAGCAGCTGGTCACCAGCAAAACCAGCATATGTTGTGTTTTGATGCTGGTATGCTGGCCAACCAGCATGACCATGCTGGGGTGACCTGCCAAACCTGAACCAGACCAGCACTAGACCAGTATAAACCAGCACTGATCAGCATGAAATGCTTGCTGGTCTGTGCTGTTTTTTTCAGCAGGGATGCCAGGACTCACTGTAAAACTGCTACAAGATAAAATATATGTTAATATCTCTGTTCCAAGCTTCAACTAAAACACTGAATGTTTTTTACAAGCTTCAAATGACGGTATTTAATCTAGAACAGCTAAAAACAATTCATATGAATTGTCATTAGCTTAGCACTAGCATACTACCAGAATCCCCTTAGAACCACTAGCAGGCATTAGCATTATCTTAAAGATGTTTTTAGACAGAATTTTAACATTTATGTCCTGAATCTGAAGACACGGTTTGCCACTCATGCAGACTGATTCCAAATTTAATCATGACGTATCTAGTGTAAAAGTGACCAGTAAGTGGGGGTGCTTAGGGGGGTGTGACATAATCAATTACCGTGCCACACACCCACAATCCGATTGGTCACCATGTAGCATCTAGAATGTGAGATCAGAGAGGATGTGCATCAGGGGTCTGATGGGTCAGTTATTTGTATATATCGTTGTCTCTCACCTCATTTTGGTGCAGTGTGACACATTTTGTTTGATGTAAAAAAAAATGGGAAAAAAGGTAAATTATTTTGCATGATGTCATCATTCATGTCATGTAAAAGCTGCTTAAAACTTCTTCCTACACCCCTGAAAACGACAGATAAGTGAAAAATCGAATTTAAAGAGTTTTCTACTTTGACCAAATGTGGGCAATCAGCCAAGACATGTTTGCTGACCAAAGTTTGTCTGAGACATGATTAGTATCTGAGGTTTGTTTCTTTAGTTTTACACTGGAGATACAAGGCTAATGTAGCTAAGGAGTAATGGACGCTAACCCTTTAGCACTGTGTAAACTGCATGTCTAAACCACCACATACATCTTAAACCATGTGCAGTTGTTCAGTATCTCTAATAGACTTGCCTATGTGGTTTCTGACGCTGTATGACACACTGATATCTATAAAAATATAAAAATAATGTCACATTGATAAAGTTGCAGCAGCCATCTTGAGGCCTAGATTGTGTCCATGCTTGTGTCCATGTTTGTAGATAACCTTTGTTGTACAATGTCAGAAACCACATAAACAAGTCTAAATCAGATTACTGAACAACTCCACACAGTTTTAGGTGAGTGTGTGGTGGTTTAGACACGCAGTTTACACACGGCTAAAGGGCTAGCCTTCATTACTTGTTAGCTACAGTAGGACTATTAGAGATTTGCACACGGTTTGAGGCAAGTTTGAGGCAAATGAAGGTTTGATCACTTCCTGACGGGTGTACCTATATGTCCAGACCCTGCACATGGAGTAAAAGGGGCAAATATCTTAACATCCCCACATTCACAATGTCAAATGATTACAAATCATTAGAAATCATGGATTACAAATGATGAGAACCCACAAAGAAATATATTCATTTGGCCATATTGCTCAGACACCCCTCGTGTTATTGCACTCGTTGTGGTAGTGGAGTGGAAAAAAAATAAATTGACGATAATCCACACAGATTATGAACAAACAGCAGCCTGAGAGCAGACCCTGGCAGACTGGATTACGCTCCAGATTATCACTCACAGATTGCTGCCTGCATTGCTGATGAAGTAACTGCTCACAGGATGGTGCACAGCTTTGCTCTTAGATGCTAACATAACGCTGCTAATGCCTTAGCTTGCCGAACAACAAGCTGAATATACATCCAGCAGAGGTCTAGAGGCCCCCAGAGCCCTACACTGTAACCTGTTTTAACATTTCCATACTGAATACTGCATTACAGCCCACTGTCCCCTAATGAGCCTGACTATCAGCCTTGTTGCTGCATGCTAAAGCAGTTATCTTCACATTTACTAACATTGTTTATCCTCGGGTTAAAATCTGACCCCAGCGATTTAAACCTCTGGGAAGATCTGTTGGGATTTCTGTTTCCCCTCCCTCACGCAGTGTGAACTATCCATGGTTCTCGCACTACTACAGGTGTGGGTATGTTAGGTTAGGGCTCTAAAGCAGCTTTCATGTAATACTGAGCTCAATATCATCCAAAACAACTAAAAAACGTATGATATTTCTTATGTTTTTCACAGCTAAAACAGCCTGAGGTCTAACTGACCCCAGTGAACACGGATGGGCACAAAATGTGTACACTGAAAACAAATCATGATGTTATTTTTTTGTTTACCCAGTTGTCCACATTAAATTTGGAGAAGTCTTTAAATACGAAGCAAAAAATTGTCAGTGATTTATTCAGCCGTCTGAAGGAGATGGAGACCGCCTGTCGTTTTCAGGTTTTCTTTGTGACTTCTTTGTATCAATTATGTGAAAATATTGACATACTACATAGATAACAAGAATATAAAACAATTCTTACTGCAACAAACACAGCTGCAGTGGCAACAGTGTTGCTTTTTACTGCTTGACTCCTTCTGATGACTCTCTTGACTGGTTCTTCATCATAAACGTCACACTTTCTTGTGCAAGCACTTGAGAATTAATCATAGTTTGAGTGTCTAAACTTGGGTTAACAGAGAAAGTTGTGGAGTGCCATTATGAGACAAATTAAATGCCATTCTACTTGTTAGGATTTGTGAGGCTAAAACTAGGTTGAGAACTCTAAGTTGAACAAGCTTTGTGAGACAGACCCCTGAGCTTATCTAGAGGCTGGCAGAGTAAACAACAACAAATAAACAAATATAGTACTGTGCAAAATCAGAGCCAACCCTTCATTTATTTAATTTCCAGTCAAAATGACCTTTATGTACAACGTATTCTTTTTCCACAAGCCTCAACAACTTAATATAATTGGTCAGTGTTTAGTGTGTCCACTCTTTACCTTTATTACAGCTTCCATTCTTTTCAGAAGTTCAGTCTCAGAAGTTGGTTTATCATTTTCTGTTTCTCACGATCCAAGTAATCTTAAACACTTTTACAGTGATGTTGAGGTCTGGACTCTGGGGTGGTAAGTCCATTGTTCAGCTTCTTTGTTTGATGTGTCTCCTTTTCTCAGTGAGGTTCTTCTTGACAGCTACACATCCTTTCAGACCCATAGCTCTCTCAAAGATGAAAGCTGTAAGTGCTGCTTATCTGATGGGGGCAGTTTTGGTGTCCACCAGGTCTTCCAGTTGGTTGTTAGGAGTCAGATCAGATTAAGATTAAGTGACCCATATTAGTCCCACAGTGGGGAAATTTCACCTCCGCAATCTAACCCATCCGTGCAGTGAGACACCACATACACACTAGTGAAGACACGCACCAGGGGGCAGTGAGCACACTTGCCCAGAGTGGTGGGCAACCCTATCCACAGCGCCCAGTGAGCAGTTAGGGGGTCATGTACTGTCGGCTCAGGGGATCAAAAAGGTGACCTTTCGGTTGCCTAACCTCCAGCCCATGACAGCCCCAAAGGGCAAAGCCTCCCCGTCGGGGAATCGAACCCCGGTCTTCCACGTGATAGGCGGAGATACTGTCCAGTATACTAACAAGGACGACTCTCCACTATGCAAACAAGGAGGAGTCCCATTTTTTTGTAGCTTTTAATCATTTTCCCTTTAGAAATACATACTGAGAAATGAATAACTTACTGAATGAATAACATACTTTATGGTCTTTTGACTGGAACTTACATAAATGAAGGGTGGTCTCTCACTTCTGCATAGTACTGTATGACTGCCCCCCCTCCTCCAGTTTATCCTTACATGACTACTCAGTGCACTTGTTTGTGTATATATGTGTGCGTGCAGCTTCCTGTGACATTCAGACCCATTCAAGCAGAATTCCACACGGCTCTTACTTAACCAGGGGCCTTCGTGTGTGTATGTGTGTGTGCACTGGGTGCATGTCTGAGAGTCAGACTTTGTGTGTTTTGACATCACTGCTCTGAGCTTGGGGCAGGAAAAGAGAGAGAGAGTGAAGAACAGAGGACAAGATAACAAGCCCTCTGTTCTACTTTCTTTCATTGTGAGCAGTATGCACTGGAATTCCATTATACCTAATGCTTTCAGTCTACAAGAAAAAAATGGCTCAATACAACTAAATATAATGTGTTAATGAAATATTAAGATATTAACTAGATATACCACAAATGAAGGTGTCAGTGATTCATTGAAATCTTTTATTTGAAGTGGAATTCCACTGATTTCCCAAATTTTTCCCAAAGACACTGAAATGCTCTGATCCAGAGAAACTTACCTTAACTCAGATTTCTTTACAGTGGTGGTGATGGGAACCAGAGGTCACAATGCCCACAACACAAATATAGACATTTTATTTACTATGCAAAACCACCAGTGAACCTACATGTGTCTTCTGAGTTTAAATATGAAATACTGATAAATGTAAAATGATAAATTTGACAAAATAACTCTTTTGGGGCTTTGCAATGCCCTGCATGTATCTCTCTGCCATGTAAGTATTTTACAAATATGTTTTAGGTCAAATCTGATCTCAAAACTATCATAAAACAATGTCTTAGAATATTGGTTAACGTATTCATTCATACTATTTCATATAATAACTTCCTGTGAAGGAACTTTTAAAGGGATACAATTTTTCGTCTGGTTCCTATCACGACCATTGTGAACAATTCGGACTTGGTTTCTCTAGAGATTCCCTTCAGTCCACTCTGAATGAGTTCATTATGGAATTACTCTGAAATTTTGAAAAGTTGATGGAATTCCCCTTTAAGGTGATACCACATTTTTGGTCATAAGCAGAAGAAATATTTCATTATTATTTTAATTTGGTAACAAGTTGGCATCATTCACATTTTTACACATTTTGCCATTTATTTACCATTGAAACATACTCTGATCCTGTCTGAACAGAATGTAAATGAAATGTAAATGTAGTTCATTATGTAAGTAACTATGAAATTAATTGTTCAATTCTGTAATAATGTAAAGTATATTGAAAGCAAAGCAAAGCGTTGATGTACTGTGAACGTCAAACCTGCTGTCTCACCTGAAAACACATCCTGAAATGAGGCTCCAGAGTTTGCCTGGAAACAGGAGGATACCCGGTGGGGTCCGAGGGTCAGGAACCCCCTTTCGGCAAGCTCAGACCGCCCATTTACAGTCCTGTCCCAGTTGCCGTGAAAACCTGCCGTGCCTGCAATGCTGCAAGAGCGCTGTCTTTGGGCTCTCCACTTCTCAGCTCTGAATGACCTCTGAACTGACCCCTGGCTTAGCTCTTGGCTCGCTCTACGGAGGCACCTGGGGCTTGGGCCAGGAGAATGTGGAGGAGAAGAAAGCTGCCTAGTAGTCGTCTTCACGTAGGACGGCTGGATGGTGGGGTAGGGTTTGACTCCAGTGGATGCACTGGAGGTCCTCCGGGGCCATGCCCCTGGGCCTAAAAGACTCTCAGACAACCACTGGGTCAGTGACGTCCCCGGCCCTTCCTCTTCCACGCTGATGTCATCATCTTCACAGCGCTCTATATTCAGGTCCACACTGCTCACACTCTTTTGCGGCACAAAAATCACTCGGCTGACTTTAGGCCTGAGGTCCCCAAGCTGCTCAGCTGAGCTTAGGCTGACCTCCAGACTCTGACTCAGGCCGTGGGGATACTCCTCAACCTGAGAGGACAGAGAGGAACTCTCCCCCAAGCGCTCCTCAGCGCTCTCGTAGGACGTGCTGGTTGTTGCGGTATCCTGGATGCTGTAGTTGCTCACAGTTTTAGTGACACTTTGAAGGCCATTAGGACTTTCCAGTGATGCAGGTGCAGTTTTACTTTCAGTTCCTCCAACTCCAAAGTCCCCTGAATAAGAGTGGGGTATCAGTTTACTATCTGTTTCTGCAGCACAAGAAGCTACTGCAGTCTGGTCTTCATGACATCCATCTTCACTCTTGTCCCGTCCACCTTCTGCCGCCACATCCCGCCTGATCTCAACTTGACACTCAAGTTGAGTCTGACCCTCTCCATCCGTGAGGTCCCCTGACCTCCATCCTTTCTCCCCCACTATGCCATCCCCTTTTAGAGGCTGATGATGTAGGCTGATGGTCCTCTGGATGTCAGCCAGCAGGTCCTGAGCCTCCGTGGCTGAGTGGAAACTGTAGAGATCTGTATCAGACCCTGACCCATCTTCTTCTGTGGTATCCATGGTTGATTCCCTGCTTCCTGCTGCCAGTTTATCTCTTTCCAGATCACTGTGAAGTTTGAGACCCTCAAAATCATCAGCCGACTGGAAGCGGTCAGTGCCTTGAATCCCTGTTCCCTCATCCAGCACATCTTCTCTAGACACTGTCTTGCGCGAGAGCCCCTTCCGGATGCGGATGCTGGAGAAGACGGAACTCTTGGAGCTTTCCGTCTTGGGTTTCTTCTTGGCTGAGTCGCTGGACCACTTTCCGGCTTTGCCCTGGGACTTTGGCTTGCTCTTTTTTGAGCTTTCGGGGTCTCTATCATCAAGACCATCCTTAACTGTCTCTGCCCTTTTCTGCTTGGCCTCCTGGTTGCCCATGTTCCTCAGCAGGCGAACCCCCTTAGCAATCAAGCCATGCTGAGAGCGTTCTTGCTCATGCTTGCTCTCCCTCTGCTGCTGCTTTTGCTGCTGCTCCCTCTCTCTCTCCTCGCTCCCTTTCTCTCTCTCTCCCTCCCTCTGTAATCCCCCCCTCCCTCTCCCTCTCTCCACACTCGGGCACAGCTGTTGCGATGATGCATGCCGTGATGCCACGGCGGAAGACGGATCTAGGCACGCCTCTCCCTCTCTCGTGTCATCTCTCGTGTTCTCTCGCTCTCTCTCTCTCCCCCTCCCTCGGACATCTGCTAGTTCTGCTGACTCGCAGACTGGGCTGCTGGATGAGCGAGCAAGCCGAGGATGCTCAACGCAACCCAGTGGGGCACCAACTTCTTCTAGTTTCTGATAGGACTCTCTCTGCAGTTGCTGACGTTGTTGCAGTTGTTGCTGTTTCCTAATGAGGTTTGTGAGGCTGCTTTTTCTCCTTTCTCGATCCCGTTCTCTAAAGGGAGACGAGTGAAAGCTCTCTTGCAGCATAGGAAGCTGCGTCTCTATGGTCCGAATGGTCTGCATCTTGCCTTAGATGCACACACCTGTACACATAAGCATGTAGAGAATGGTCACCTTAAGAGAACATACAAATAGTTGCTGGCAAAACTGTGTGATTAACCTCCCCCAAAAAATATGAGCAACAGTTATGACTGTACAGTGGGGTCCAAAAGTCTGAAGTAACTAGTGAAGATGCTTTTATTTTGCATTCGTCTGTATAGAAGTTTTAAATTACAAATTAATATCTGCATTACAATTTGTGTGAATTGTAATCTTTGGAATACTGACATTTTGAAAACTGCCCCTCTTTTGCTTTAATGACAATGTGCACTCAAGCTGGATGTCAGTTTGTGCCAAAACCTCTCATGAGCAGATCCCATTGTCTGAACATGAGCTTCATTAGAAGAAATTTTTGTACAGGCCTTAACATGGAAAATGGGACAAAGCTTACATTTGCATAGTAACCTAGAAATAATGCAGTTCGTTGTACTTGTCTTCTTTCTTGCATTCAGTTACAAAACTGTCACTGGGGCAGCCCCCTTCTTGTCACTACCTTAAAGGGTACATCTTAGTACCTTTAGTCAGGGAACATAATTGTACCATAATCCATTGAAATTATATTTCCTTTGCTGTACTGACTCCACACACCCCGTCTCGTCTCCAGGCTTTTTATTTTATTGTTCTGTTCTTAACATTAAGATATGATAAAGTATAAATACATACTTTTCACCTTAAAACACTTTTTTAAGGTTCACAATTAGACCTTAAAACCCCTGTAGTACCTTTGATGGTACATTTACATTGTTTATACCTTGATGAATGAAAAATGTACCTGCACAGAACCTTTATTTCTAACAATGTACTTGACTTTTTTTCTTAGTCTTTTCTTAGACTTTCAATGTGATCTCAGACTTTTGGACTCCACTGAATGTCTAACAATCCAAGTTGATATACAGTCTATATCCCAAACACAGTAATGTTATCCGATAGAGATTAAAGTCAAATTAAAGTACATTTAAACATCTCACCGTACACCTATTGATATCTGTTACTTATCTGGTCTATATCATAAAAAATGAATTTTCCTCACTTTTTTTGAAATACAAGAGTTTGACGTAGCATGTAGATAGTGCTAAAGTTTCAAAGCATACTGTTCTCTCCCCAGTCCGGCAAAAGCATCCTAGCTTTTATTAATCGTTTTTGTGATGTCATTTGCCTATTCATATGTCTGTTTACAGCACTTTAGCCCCAACTGTTCATGCTGTGAGGTTATAAGGAGTGTTTCAGCATGGACTGCTTTTTAAATGAGGCACAATACAGGGCAGCCAGTCAGTTCTGTTGTATTTATATAGGTAAAGCAGCCTTAAAGGTACAGCCTGGGGATAAAGAGAGGCTGGACAACGGCCAAGTCAAAAGGTATCATAAATTACTTTTTTAGTACATAAACCCATACAAGTGTCATAAGCGAACCTTAAGGGAAAAAAATTAAAAAACAAAAAAATGTAGGATAAAGGCCCTTTAAATATGCCTGTAACGCTAAAATCTACTGAGCTCCAGCCCCCATTTCTCTCTCTCTATTTTATACTATTAACACTGACCTGAATGTGCCTCGGATTCACTCAGTAGAGATGGAGGAAAGGGGAAAGCTTGTGGGGTCTGCACTGCCTTTGCCTTTAGAAGAGAAAGAAAAGAAGGTCATGTGACTTCTGTGTTAAACCTCCAGCAATAGTATGAACACAGTAATGATTTCAAAGCCTTTTGCACAGGATTATCGGTCTAGCATGCTGCATCTATTTGCTTGAGAATATTTTCTAGGTGTAATCTGGGTTAGAAGTATAAGCAGTCGTGGAGGTTCATCTCTAAAATCGTGTTCGTGTGCATGTGTGGGGAAGCCTTCCAGCCAAAATCTGATCTGATCTGAAAAGACAATGAATAGCAAAGGTTGGATGCAGCAGTGATTCAGTGCCTACATAGCATCACGTGAGCTAGCAGGCTGCTCTCATAAACTGCTGTGTGACTCTGACTAAAGTGTTAGCTCAGAAGTCATGACATCACACTTCCACACACATGAACAGCACCCAGCTTCAGAATTACACACTGATCTCAGTCTTTTAAAGGAACAGCTCAGAAAAAAATCAACATGTTTGGCGTTTGAGGTTTGCTTTTTCAGTTTTGCACTGGAGCTACGAGGCTAATAAGCTAACAAGGAATGAAAGCTTACCAATTAGCATCATGCTGTCTGATCTAATACTGTGTTATTTGTCATGTTATTGCAGTATTCTGTAGTGCAGCATCAAATCCATCAGCCTCATTAGTTTGACAAAACTTATCATTTTACATTTTTATACGTTTTCATTCATCATCGTTCTTTCACTACAATTCCCAGCATGCATTACGCAAACACGTTATATAACCATAGACCACTGTAGTCATGTCGTCATTTTGTAGTCAGCGCTATGCTCTTATGCCCATATTAGGGTCTAAGCTCCATTTCTCTATGGCCAGAATGAATAGGGTTTTTGAAAAATTGCCTCTATCGCTCCCTGTGTTAAATAAAAATGTTCAGAACCCGATACGGTTTGTCCTGTGTATATTTTTCTCCTGAATACCACTGGATCCTCTGAATTACCAGGTCGTAAAGAGCTATAATACTAATATTGCTACATGCGAGCTAAAGCTACTGCGCATCAATTTGATGTCACCGAGCTACACGAAATTAAGGCGGGCTGTGCCGGTGCTCTGACCGCAGCGCTTAATTACAGGTATACCCGTAAATAAAATGGGTGGGATATTTTGATAGACTAAAACTACTTATCAAAAATACTACCCGTGTAAAAACTACGAGGCTGAATTAATCTTCTTTTTTCAAAGCTTCTTGTTTGAATGTTCCCGTTCCACCTTAAATGGTGCCGCAGCTGTGACTAGCTATCACAACCATTAGCAAACAAGACAAAATACTGACCTGTTAGTTCGGTGAAACCGCAAAATTAAGTTAATGTTACTCAGCTGTTAAGCGGAATGGAGAAACCTCCTCATATCAGGCCTTTCAACCCTCCATGAAGCTGAAGTCAGCTTCTTTTTGCCGGCTGCTTGTTCAGATTTCCCCGCTCCACCTTAAATGGCGCAGCAATTTAGAACGTGACTGCAGTACCACTTAAGGTGGAACGGGAAAAGTCGAACAAAAAGCTGGCGAATGTCCTCAGAAAAATGTTACTGGCATTAAAATAAAAACTAGGATATTCTGAAAGCCTAAATCAGTTTATCAGGAGGTGAAACCTGCTTAACGAGGCTGCCAGTCTAGTGACGTGAATTCAGTGTGCAGTAGTTTTAGCTCACATGCAGTAATATTCATATTTCAACTCTTTACGACCTCGTAATTCAGAGGATCCAGTGGTGTTAGAGAGAAGAATGTTCACAGGACAAACCGTATCGGGCTCTGAACATCATTATTTAACACAGGGGGCGATAGAGGCGATTTTTCGAAAACCCTATTCATTCTGGCCATAGAGAAATGGAGCTCAGACCCGGAGTTCCTAATATAAGAACATGGCGCTGACTACAAAATGACGACACGACTACAGTGGTCTATTGGGAATCCCTGTAGTGCCAACCAATCCTGGCTGCTAACCTGGCTGAGCTACAGGCTGATAAATATAACCCAGCTAGCATTAGCATAACTCTTACCATCAGTTTTAGAACAAAGTCATAGAAAACAGTAATTCTGTGTTTATTTAGAGCAAAATGGACAACAGACACAAGACTTTAACCCTTTCAGCCACAGAAAAGGAGCCAAACTAAGGTAAGATATCTAGCTAGCTATGGTAGCTACCTTGCTAACTGTAGCCTTTAGCTTCTTGTGCGCCTCTTCTGATGAGTCATTTCTGTCATTAGAGTAATCCGTTCTCTCCATAGTAATGATAATTTGAAAACAGTTACTACAGCTGTGAGGCTGTGATAAGACATTTAGCTTCCTAACAGTAAAATTAGCGGGGAAAAAAATCAAGAATTCAACCCAAAGCAGTTGTAGTTTTTCAAAAGGTCCTCCCAGCTTTAAAGGTGCAGTGTGTAAGATATATGGGGGGGGTCTATTGGCAGAAATAGAACATAGTGCACAAAACCCTGTTTTCATTGGTGTATAATCACCTAACTATGACTCATTGTCTATTCTTTAGCTTAGAATGAACTCTTCATATCTACACAGGGAGCTGCTCTCTTCTAACAGAGGCTGCCATGTTGTACCACCATGTTTCTACAGCAGCCCAGAAACCAAACCAAACACTGGCTCTAGAGGGCGCCTTTTGCAATTTTACATTGAAGTTGCAGCTACACAGAAAGAAGAATCAGTGGTTGCTGTCGGTGCTGCCTAACCATTTCGTGTTCTAAGAAGTTTGAGAACCCAAATGTTGACAAATTATGGAGCCCTGCTGGTGAAATCCCATATTTATAACAATAAGGCATGGCCACAGCTTGTAAGCTGTGGGAACGAGATAATTAAGTCATTAAGTCACAACTACGTAAGGCGTGGGAACAAGATCATACCTTATTAAGCTGTGAGGGATCTCGTTCCCACACATTACTAAGTCATGGCCATGACTTAATTATTTCGTTCCCACGCCTTACTAAGTCGTGACCACGGATTATTTTTATTCATACGGGATGTCACCAGCAGGGCTGTGTAACAAATGGAGGACCATACTTATTATGTAGTACACGAAAAAGCAAATGAGTGTGAATTGGGACAGACGATGGCAGAAGACAAGGATAAACATTGGTGGCCTTTCCCAGATAGGAATCACTGAAGAAGGACAAATGTCTTCAGAGTGACGCTGAAGTTTCGTTTTCTGCTGGACAGCTAATTTAGTGTACTAATCTACCTGATGGCCATCGTATGTTCTACTGCACACTTGGAAAGGGAGGGGTGAGGGAGGGGTATACAGTTGGTTGCAATCTGCAATCTCACCACTAGATGCCACTAAATCTTACACACTGCACCTTTAAGATACATAATCAGATGGGTTTTTTTCAGACTTTAAAACTGGAAAATCTCACTCTGGAGCCGTGGTTCTCAACCTGGTCCTCAGGACCCTCCAGACAAGTTTTTGCTCCAACCTAACTAACAACACATAGTGATGAAGGAAAAATGTGGACTGCCTGGGGGGCCCTGTAGACCGGATTGGGAAACACTGGAGTGCTGCGGCACTCTGAACAGCATTCAGAGTGGTTTGATGCAAAATAGTTTATTGTAGAGAAACTATCCAACTCACTATTCAGCTTACTTTACTTTCCAAAACCACCATTGAGCCCACATGTTTGCTGAGTTTTGTATGTAATGTTGGTAAAATGGTGGGAAAACTCTGAAAAATTTCTGTCAGGACTATTTTGTCTTGCCACATTCTGCATGCATTAAAAAAAAATGTAAGCAAAAAACAGTGTAAAATAATGTCTCAGACCTCAAGCAGCATATTTATGACAGTTTTGTGCAGTAACTTTCTGTGAGGGAGCTTTTTGAGGTGGACGTCTGGTTCCTCTCACCACCACTGTGAACAATTCTGACTCGCCAAGTTTCTTGTGGATTATTTCACACCAAACCACTCTGAATGACTTTGTTTACATCTTAACCATTTAATTACAGACATTTTGGAAAATTTGAGGGATTCTCCTTTAGGTAACCTCTAATAGACTTGCTTATGTGGTTTCTGACACTGTATGACACTGTTATCTATAAACATGGACTAAAGTACAAACAAATGTCAGTCATCAGCATGGCTGACACTACTGTTTTCAGTTATGCAATGTATTTTTGACAATGACTGCATTTGTTATGAAGGCAAAATTGTGCAAATTAGATTTTTTGCTGAACCGTTCCTTTAAGACTGACGCTTACGTAGGCAAAAATGAACAAAGTGGCTGCCATGAATAACATTAACACTGACTTGAAACTGAAGTTAGCTTGAATCTGATTGAGATCTGCTGCAAAAAAGTCATTTTTACACATTCAACTTCTTATTCAGTTTAAACTCATTGAAAAACTTCCATCTGGATCCTAAACAAAAAGTACATGGAGGATAAAAGCTGCTTTAATCTGTCAGTAAATCAACTCACCGCTTTAAACTGCTGACCGGATCCCAGAGAGAGCGAGAGAGACAGAAGAAAAGAAAGGAGGAAAGAAAGACAGCAGAGAGTGCTTGACTGTATGGAGTCTGTGGTAAAAGTGGAAACAAATAAGCATTTGTGATGCTCCTCATGCTGATCTTCATCCTCAGTCACATGAAGGAAGACTTCACATCACATGGTCTCTTCTGTTACAGGCTGCCAATACAGTTATACTCTCTCTCTCTCTCTCTCTCTCACACACACACACACAATAAGAAAACCCAACAAACTTGTAATTACTTACACACTACCATTCAAATAATTAAGATGAATTAATGGTGAACAGAGCTGTATATGATCCTAATATGATAGAAAACAACAAGAACATTTCTAACAGAACGCGTATCCAGAAGTTATATTAAAACTAATATCCAGAATGAATTTCCAATAAAATTAATATCCAGAAAGACGTTCTAATAAAATTAACATCCAGAATGAAGTTCTAATAAAATTAATATCCACAATGAATTTCTAATAAAATTAATATTTTATAAAATGAATATTAAAAAATGGAATTTCTCTTAAAATTAATGTTCAGAATTAAGTTCTATTAAAATATTCCTAGTGAATTTCCAATAAAATGAATATCCAGAATAAAGTTCTAACAAAGTTAATAGAAAACAAAGTTCATTTAAAATAATATAAAAAGAAGTGCTGATAAAATGAATATCCAGAATCAAGTTCTAATAACATTAATATAAAATACAGTTCTAAAAAATGATATCCCGAACAAAATTCTAATAATATTAATACAAATTGAAGTTCAGTTAAAATGAATATCCAGAATGAAGTTCTAAAAAAATGAATATCCAGAATTAATATCCCGAATGAATTTATCAATAAAATTAAAATCCTGAATGAATTAATACAGTTACTATCCAGAATGAGGTTCTAATAAAATTAATATCAGCCTAATTTTAAAATAATCTTGAGTTTTTGTTATAAATGTTGTATTATACTTTTGAACGCATTAATAAACTGAAAATAGAAACAGTAGTATGTCATTAGGCACTGTTTCAGACAGTCCTTGTTTTTGCTGTATTGAATGGGACACATCACCGTCACCACATCATATCTAACAGTACATTCTGTGAATCGTTTCACTGCTGATTCTATGGTGACAGTGTTAAAAAAGGTCAGCACTGTGATGATATGATGTTCTATGATGATATGTTGTACAGTCCTGTTGTTGCTCAATGTTATCAAATATTTTTCACAAATGAAAGAATTTGCTTATATATGAAAGAAACACAGCAAGGTTTTAAAAAAGTGACATTTATTCTGAGAAACCGATTACTGGATAAAAATTTCTTCCTTCTGAGTCACATTTCAACAACTATGGACACAAACAGCTCATCTCAGGCTGAAAACCACCATCAACACTCCAATTTGTACCATAACACGGCCGTTTTGGACAAAAAACAGAAAAGCAGCCACTAACGAAGCATCTCACAGAAGCACTACTGCAGCAGGATCTCACAGGAGACGGAGGAGACGGTGGGCCATTTCTCACTGTAAAGCAGGGAAACATAAAAAGAAAGAGAAAATAGACTAAAACAGGCTTTTAACTGTAAAACAGAGGTAAAAATGGGACAGATCACTGGGTAATGCCATTAGGTACCAAAGAGGAGAGAAGAACTCAAAATATCCCATGATCCTGGGAGTTTTTCTGACCAGTCCTTATTAAATATTCTCATATCCATTTGAATCCAATAATTTTTAAAACACAGATCAGTTTGCATGTCTCTTTGTAGCAACCCGAAGTGCTCGACAATTGGATGTTATCTATTTTAGGCCCACTGTTCTAGAAACTGCATCATACAACCATTCGTTTTAGTCTCAGAGCATAAGCAGCGCAAGTTTGGTCAGGAGTGGTTTGGTTTCTTCAAGGCTTAAATCTTGAATTTCTGTAGCTCATATTGTGAAAACAGAGTCTATCAAATGATACAGAAGGTTTACTTTAACTCCTTAAAATCCCAGACTTATTACTTACTAAGCCTTATTATTCAGTAACTACAGGGACTTGAATGCAAACTTGCTAAGCTGTTCTTAGATTATAGAAGTGTGTAATTAGAAGGTGGGCCTGCTGGTGGGCCCTGGCCATTTAACGGGTTGAAGGCCTTTAAACACTTGAAGTTTAAAATTTTCGCTGGCCTAAAGCACCACATTTAACTCATAAAGAGGTTATCCGTTAAATCTTGTTTTTAGAGCCGTGGAATCACTGTGGAATCATAGTTTTCTGGATATTGCACCTATATATCTGAGATACATATCTGACCAGTAGTGTCATTTTCTGTCCAACAGAGGGCGCCAATGCCCCACTGACAGAATGCTGCCAGGAGGGCTGCTGTCATTAATCACTTTTACAGGTAAATTCACAGATTTATTTATTTAAAAATCTGAATAATTCTTTCATTGAGATGTAAACAAAGTCATTCTGAGTGGTTTGATGTGAAATAAAAGATAAAAGTACAGACTCAGATTTCTTTACAGAGGTGGTGATGGGAACCAGGGGTCACCATGACTACAGCACAAATATAGCCATTTTTTTAACTATTCAAAACCACCAGTGATCTTAGAAGTATCTTCTGAGTTTTATATGTGATGATGATGATGGTAAAATAGTGATAAATCTGGAAATAAAATGTTTTTTGGGGGACTATTTTTGCCTTACACACCCTCCATGTACCTCTCCACATGAATGTGCATTAAGAATGCCTAAATTGTACTGCAATATTAGCATAAAACAACATATTAGGCATCAGCCAACATGTCAGTGAGTTTCTTTAGAACTGCGCATTTCACATTAAACCACTTTGAATGACTCTGTTTACATCTTCACAGTTGAATTACACAGAAATTTTGTGAAATTAGTGAATTATAAATTCTCCTTTAATGTTCCTTCTGGCCTTATACACCGTCCAATTCTGGGCTCTAGAGCAGTGGAAACTCAAGACAGCGCTGTGTTCTGGTGCATGGCTCTGTAGCATGTATACTTTTCTGGTTCTGACCTGTAGGATCACTTTGTGACCAACAGAGGGCACTTATGCTCCACTGACAGCATACTGCAAGAACAGGAGCCATTATTATTCCCTCTGGACTTAATCTGGATCAAAAACGGAATCACAACCAGGCCCTAAAATGCAATTTCCCATGCAGACAATGAGGTGAAAAGCTTCTGTTGCAACACAATTACTAAACAATTGTGATCTTAACTGGAATCAGAGAATGAGATAACAGATCATCATGATCAGGGACGTGGCTAGCAAACTGGTAAGCCAAGAGATCCACAATAAAGCAAAAACTTCATCAAATTTGGACCCACAACATTAATATCAGCATGAGCAATGTCTTTTAAATACGTCATCACACATCGCTAAAGATAATATTACAAAACATTTTCTCAGTAGGCCCTTGTAATCAGTGTTCAAGCAAGCACAAGGTACCCCAATAAAGTACAAACAACAGAATCATCAATATGCACTTGATATCGCAAGAACAGCTATTGAATTACTTGTAGCACTTGTAACAAAATCATGTAAACAACACTCATACTCAATGGCCTACCAGAGCAGTGTTCTGAGGAAGAATCGTCAATAATCCTTCGTCCAAAAAGAAAGAAATAGAATCTGTTCAACTGCGATTTACATTATACAGAAGAACATGAATATACTGACATCTTACAAACAGGTAAGACTTTCGTTTGCAACACAGTTCACAGAAAACAGCCAAAGTTTAGTTACAAATAAGTCACTTCAATCGTAGATACATACACCGCAAGTATTTTGTACTCCTTTGTTTTAGTTTTTTTTAATTTCCACTTTTTTTTTAGTTTCTGAAACAGTCCAACCCTGAAATATACATTTTGTTCAGTGAAAGGGATTCAGAGGTGTTAAAATTTCCCAAAAGTGTTTCTTATATGGGCCAAGATACTGTGTTGCTGGCATTCCATTACAGGTTCATCCAAGGCTTCTAGAAGGTACTCCTCCCTGTCTTCCACAAGGTACTTATGACAATTGCACTTGTTCAAGGCAGAGTCTTATTGAAGCCCTTTTCCTTTGTACAAGAGTAAAAGGATGGAACTGAAGTCACCAGCTGTCCTAGAACCCATACAGTTTGTTCTCAAACTGTAGCTATCATTTGACTTTAGGACACAATTAAGCTCGAACCATATGGAATCTCCAAGAGAGGGCCACCTCAGTATGATTCCACAATTTACCGGCTAAATCCACAGGTTGGACCTAGTCATGTTTCATCCATGTTAGCTTAGCACGCACGCTAGCTCTGCTATGTCGAGTCTCTGGGAATGCTCCTGTGGAAACGGACCGACTGTCTTTGCAGAAAACTTTGCTTGCTCCTCTGTTCCTCCCAACGGCAAAGCAGGATCATCTTAAACGTGCTACGGAAGGTCTTGTTGCACAGCGCATAGCACATCGGGTTTACGGTGCTGTTAACGTAGCACAGCCAGTATCCTAGGGCCCACAGGGATTCTGGAATGCAGCCGTTACAAAAGGTGTTGACTAGCACCATGATGTTGTAAGGCGTCCACGTTATGATGAAGGCGAAGAGGATGGCGCTGAGAGTCTGGGCTGCTTTCTTCTCTTTAATTAGTGACATGCGCTTGCGTTTGGTGATCTGCGTCCTCGCCCGAGCAGCAAAACGCTTCGCGAGTGCCGCCTCTTTGAAAGATATCGGTGCAGAAGGGGACTTTACGGTGGTGGCAGTGGTGGGGTCTATGCTGGTGGTTGAAGCCTCAATGGCAGGCATAGACTGCACTTTGGCTATGTTTGTGGCAAAGCGCTTGTTGCCATTGGTGACAGAGCGCGAAAGGCTATCGCCCTTGCCGTCATCATCTCCGCGCCCTCGTAGCGGGTCTTCCTCCGAAGCAACATCCAAGTCTTCGCAGGATGTTACCTGGGAATTTACGGCAGCTCTCATGCCCGGCAGATTGAGGACAATTGAAAAGATGGCACGTGCGGCAGATGGCGCACTGTCCTCTTCGTCGGACGAGCCAGAATGATCGGCGGAAAGTCCTGTGTCATTGTTGTTCCAGCTGTCGCAGCTGCTCTGGTCCACCTCCCCTCCGCTGTGGGTTCCACCTGCACCTGCTCCTCCAGGCCTCCACTTCCAACAGCGGAAGCGGCTGGTGAGCAAGGAGCTTCGTCTTTGGGCGGGTCGGCCCAGCTCGAAGCTGCTGCAGCTCCTAGAGCTACCCCTGGTGGCGTGGAGATGGAAATGCGGCCGCTCAGTCCCTCCTACTAACCGTCCTCCCGAGCCTTGCAGCCCCGCCAGCTCTCGAGAACGATTCTCAGTCTCTTTATAAATCCTCCAGTACAGCACACTCATTATAGTTACAGGCAGGTAAAAGGCTGCCATGGCTGTACAAAAGGTAATAATTGGTTCGGACAGAAACTGGATGTAGCACTTGTCCGGCGGAACTGTCCTCTTTCCCACAAAATATTGCCAGAACAAGATTGCTGGTGCCCAGAGCATCAGTGACACAAGCCAGGCCAGTCCGATCATCACTCCTGCCCGTTTGGTGGTACGCTTGGCACGATACGTCAGTGGCCTTGTAATAGAGAAGTATCGATCAAAGCTGATCACCAGCAGGTTCATTACAGATGCATTACTGGCCACGTAGTCTATTGCTAGCCAGAGATCGCAGGCCCAGTTGCCCATGGCCCACTGCCCCATCACTATATACGTAGTGTACAGGTTCATGGAGATGACCCCGATGATGAGGTCAGCAAAGGCCAGACTGAGGAGAAAGTAGTTGTTGACTGTTTTAAGCTGCCGGTTGACCTTAAAAGAAACCATGACCAGAATGTTGCCTATGATGGTGATAAGAGACAGCAGTCCTGTGAACAGGACAATGAGGATGACCTGCCACAATGAGTGACCACCGAAAGGGTCATACTCGTGACCTTCAATCTTCGGGTCAGTACTGTTGATCCCATAATAGGCACTGAGGTTCACAGCACCTTGCAAGAAAGAAGCGTTGGAGTCATCCACACTCTGAAGCAGTGGCCATGGAGAAGATTGTGGATAAATTTGTGGTCCCAGGGTGCTGGTGGGCACATATTGGCCAGACTCTGCGCTGTTGGAGTCCATCATGCAGTCCAGGCATATTCTGGAGAAGAGAAAAGAAAAATTTGTAAAAGGCTGCATGATACGGCAAAGTATTGTCTGATCTTTCTTGTATACAGCCTTGAGGGCTGTCAAAATAAAATTCAACTTTGGAACGTTCATCAAATCTAAAGAAAAAACATTGATTACAGTGTTGAAAGCCTGCTGCGGCTCCTAGTATTCCAGGCCAACTGGTCACTAACTTTATTACAAGTGATGACCACCAAATAGAGGGAAGAACGTGCCATTGCTGACCATTAAGAAAACAACAACCGTCTGTTTTGGCTTTAATTGTTTAATTGTTTGGGAATGTTTATTTTAGTAATTTAATCATTCTAAATGAAGCAGTATGTTTACTTTGGTAAGCGATGATCTGCTTTCACTGGCACATTTTTTTTTCTGACAAGTCAGTGTTTCATATGTGAACAATTTTTCAGAACAGTAGTTTTGCTAATAATAATATAATATTTATAAGGTAAAGCTGCTAGTTTAGCTGCAAGGCTAAGCTGCTACACAGGATTTAGGAGACACAACATCGTAATTTGAATACCTTCTGATATTTGATAAACAGGCAAGGGGATAATTCAAGTTTCATTTTTGATCCCACCTGACAGCCACAAAAGCCTGTCTGAAAATAGTTACTAATTTCTATTAACAGTCAGTTATTTATATAAAATAATAAAAAATAATATATCTAACAAAAATAAATAATAAAAATAAACCACACAATTGATTCAAAGGCATTCCACTGTGTACCTAGGCAGTAAACACTTGCAAGCAGCCACTAGAGGGTGTTATCGGCCTGTTATCGCTTATCACTCGCTGCATATACTATGACATAACTACACTAAACTTTTTAAATATAGAGTGCTCAACTCGCGTCAGCACACACAAACATTCTGTAGACCAGAACAATGCGCTCTGAAGCTCGTCACAATCATTCAGTTTTCTCTTACACTTATCATATGGAAACACAGCCTCCAAAAGATTTCAAAACAATTCCCAGCACAGATAGCTGCTGCTGCATGCCCAATACTGCTGGACAAGATTCTTTTGGAAAAACACCAGCTATGCACGAAAGAACTGCAGAGATAGCCTTCAGACAGACGGTCTGTGAATTACCAGGCAGGCAGGATGAGACTGGCCACTGTTCAAAAACAGGACAGACTGTCTTAGATAGACAAGATGCATCTTTATTGAAATATGGGGAGGGTGAAGGACACATTGTAGGCCTTTCAGAGCCTCAACACAGAATTGCACTAGGACGTGGAGTCATGCATACATAATAATAATATGCCCCATATATATTTGTATATGTATTCTCCAAACTAGCTTACAAGATATCAACCACCTTTTTTAAAATAGGAAATTCTCGTGACTTCTTACTGTATTTATGTTTGTTTGTTACATCTATTTTATATAAAATATAAGCAAGAAAAATGGTCTTAAACAACATGCTTAGGTGCGTGTGTGTGTGCATGTATGCAATTTTCTTCCGATGCTGTTGTCGGAAGAAAACCTCATCTCCATTTTTGACGTTTTTCAGTTTTTGACGTAATTTGAAAATGCTTGAATGATATTGCCCTTTACATTGTATGTACATTTAATGATGAATGGACGAAAAGAAATGACCCAAAAATGACTTGGAAAAAAGTCTGGTTCCATTGACTTACATTAAAAGTAAAGTAGTTATTTTCCTTCTCCTGTAAAGTTACTATTTTGGAGATATGACATTTTTTCTGACAACAGCGATATATAACCACCTATATATATATATATAGTGTATATAATGTGTGTGTGTGTGTGTGTGTGTGCGCAACACACAGTAGCACTGCTGAGTCTGATATATATACGCAATGTGTAAAAAGCACTTTACAAAGCCAGGAGCATTTTGTTGGTCCAATAGTTTATTCTTGTTCTTCCATCTACAAAGTCAGGACGTCTCTGTCCTGAATATACACAAAAACAAACACACACACACAGCTAATCTCTTTGAAAGAGGGGAAGAATAAAATGTAACTGACCCCATTCCAAGAACGGACAAACATTTTATCTTTAAAAGAAGCCTCCCTAAATCTCAAAAAGTATACACACACACACACACACACACACACACAGCTTGACTTTCCTGCTTTTTCCTCCTCTTAAAGGCCAGACAAAGAAGCACAAGTGCTTTCTATACTAAGAACTGCTAAAGGCAGATAACCTATGTTTAAAATAGTACTACATGTTGTAATACATTATAACCTGTGCTCTGGTGTGTCTTCACATTACAGCATGGTTATAATAATTACATGTAATGTTATATGTGTATTGTCATTGTCACACAAAAGAATCTCCATTATTGTCATTTTTCATTTTTGTGCATAATTTGAAAAGTCCAGTTATCCTTTGCTTTTCTCTAAAGGTTTTTTCCTTCTCCTGTAAAATTACTCTTTTGGGGATCGGAGGTTTTGTTCTGACATCAACAATATATGTATTCATAAGGCTTTTATAAGGTCTCATAACATGCCTTTATAAGGGTCTAATACTTTTGCTTCACAACCTTTTACACATGTAACTAACTTACATTAGTGCACTATAGGTTCACATATAGTACACATAGGGTCAGTTTCCCAGACAGGGATTAAGCCTAGTCCTGGACTGAACAGCATTCTGAGTGGAGATTTTCCTTTGACAGGGTAATGTAGTCCAGGACTATGCTTAACCAACCCATAGCTACATAAATATAGGTGAGCACTTATAATGAACTTACCATTATAGCTCTATGCCATTATAATACATGTCTCTCTCTCTCTCTCTCTCTCTATATATATATATATATAATTCATGTATTCAAGTATTATTTCTAAGACAGGAATGGGCTGTATTAACAGTATTGTGTAATCTTCAGAGTTCAGCCAGTCCTCATCTGCTTCACTTTAAGAAAGAAAAAGCTGAGACCTGCCTCCGTCTCTCCGACTGGAAAGCAGGGAGGACTTGGGCTAATTAGCTATTGGATTCTCACACCAAGACGCTGGACAGGCTGTGAAAGGGAGTGATTAGTGAAAGCTGAGGGAGGATATACAGCTCAGAGAGAGAGAGAGAGAGAGAAGAGAGAAGAGGAAGAGAGAGAGAGAGAGAGAGAGAGAGAGAATCATCACACCATCTCGATACAAATGTATATATAACCATTGCAAAAATACAGAGCGCCAAATGTTGCTCAAGGTCAGCAAAACAAGCCTAGTCCAAACAGGAATGAGTGGTACTTATAGTTCTAGTTCAAATTCGTTCCGCCAGTCCATCACAGGGCAGACACACTCACGCCCTGGGGCAATCTGATACTATCAACTGGCCTGACTACATGTCTTTGGACTGTGGGAGGAAACTGGAGCTCCATTAATGCTAATTTGGCTAAATAGCTATCTTGCTTACCAGTTAGCTTCACTTACTGGCTGATATGAAATGATATACTGTACTGTTCTGTGCACAAACTCACAAAAACTTCAAAATTCACTTGGAATGATGTGTAGACTCAAGCAAAGCTGCGATTTTGAGAGAGTGAACTGACACATTAGCTATCTTGCTTACTAGCTAGCTTAACACTAGTTGTGCTGGAAATAATATAAAGCGTTTTTCTCATCCACTCACATAAATGTGTACATTATACAGAATCATTACACAGCTTCAGTATGCCTCATATGAGAGTAAATATGTGAACACTCATTCTGTGTCGGCTAGCATAAATGCTAATAATGTTAACTCAGGCTTCCTAACTAGCTTATGTCAATTTAGCAGACCATCCCTGATAGCAAGAGGATAGTGGACCACTATCGGCCCGCTAATGGCAAAGCTGCTGGTCCACTTGTGTTTTGCTCAGGGTTTTCTGGGCGGCCCACCAGCAGATAAGCAGTATGCCGCAAGTGTCACCAAAGACAGACACCCTCAAGTGCCTTTAGCCGCTTTTCCGCTGCATGGTACTAGCTCGACTTGACTCGAGTCTACTTGCCTTTTTCGGTTTTCCTTAGGACAAATCTGGTACCCAGGTACTATTTTTGGTATCACCTCCATCGAGGCTCCAAGCGAGCCGAGCCGATACCAAAATGTGACGAAAAAATGCTGCAGACTACTGATTGGTCAGAGAAAACCGCTAAACACATATGTTAGCGTTAGCTACCAGTCACCTTTAAGCAACCAGAATTGCCTCGTCATCTTAACTCTTCCTAAACTCTTCTGTTTTTTTTCAGCAGTCTTTCATCTTGCTGATATCAGTCTCTTCAGAACAAAATTTGTCTCCTTCACGTCACGGCAGTTTCATGTGGTGTCGCTCTGATGTCCAGTCAAGCCTTACCATGCAGTGGAAAAGCGGCTATTATGTCGTGTTAGTACCGGTCATGAGGAGCCATAAACTATAAAACCGAACTGTTGTTACTGGGCTTGGTGCAGTAGAAAAACACCCTTAGCCAGCAACATAAATCCCCATATGACCCATTAATGTTAAATTATAGAGTAATTTTAACTAATTTCAACTGTAGTATTGACAATAAAGCTGACTTGACTAAAATTTAATCATAGTTTTTCTTATACCCCTCAGTATCTGAAGCTCAGGGGGCTTTTGCTTGTGCCATCACATGAAAACACATTTCCCTCCAGTCACTTTCATTACTAACTGCTTAATAACACTTGTTTGGCAAGCACTAAATGCAGTTCTCCATCTTTAAGCACATGTTTGTTGATCAGCTCATGTAAAAGAGGCAGAAAAGGTACCCATTTGGAAGTCACTTAGGGACTCAAACAGCTCAAATGCTACTGAGCTTTATTCTACATTTCTGTTTCACTGCTGGAAACTGAGGGTTTAATGAAGTATAATGCAGCTATACAGAAAGTGGTTTAGAAAAGCCACATAAAAATGCTTAGAGCTTCCAAACAGGGCCGGGCAGATGAAGAGGCCTGCAGTGCTGACTGCTGAAGACTGGATTAAACTGGAGGAATGGGTAGAGTTTGCCACATCCTGCTCAAACAGGA